ACCGCGCGACATAGAGACGTCGCCAAAGCTCCCTCGTATGGTCTGTCGCGACAAATGTCACCAGAGTTCGCGCAGTCTGACGTATCCGCAAACTTATTTCCCCATTGAACAAACTGGCTACGAGCTTTCGTGGACTGCGGTGCTTTTCTTACCGACCTGTCCGCAACCCTCGGACAGACCCGTGCAAAGGTATAAGAGCGAATGATAACGATAAACAACGTTCGTGAGAGATTTACGAATTTCGCGATGACACCCACATTGAAATTTTCGTTAACACTAGATTGCCCAAGGAAGTCATTTTGACAGCTTGGCAAATTTTAAATAATCAAAGGACTCTTATTATCGAATTGAATAAATTTCTTATATGGCCAGTTCGGCTCTGAATTGAAATAACAATTTTCATTTTTTTTCGATTATCGTCACATGATAACATACAAGTATATGATAAATTGTCGATTTGGTCGTATACTTGATAAGTCGCAGTTGCTCAATAAGCTAAAGTAGTACTTGTTATTCGAATCTTTATGCAGTGATACTTCTTCTAACAAGTTTTATTTTATTTCTTTTGTGCCCTAAATTCATGAAAAAAATTTCGAATAGATGTATATAACTGTAAATAATATAAAAAATATTAAAAATTAATTTTAAACAAATTTCTTTACACATTAGTCATTCTTTCACAATGCAGTCATTTTGACTGCTTTGGGCAATATAGGTATATACTAAGTTTCGGTCTTTCCAGTGTTAAACAATTGACTTTTGGGAAAACTTTTGTTTTTTTTTTTTTCGTTAAATAATTACACTTGGCTCGAGCACGTGGTACTAGTATGATTTTAGGGTGACACTCGCTCCGGATAGATATTACAGTGACAGACCCTCCCCCAGCCTTCTGTCAGGAACTTATAACCATATATAGATACATACAGTAAATAATGTAGTACATGGAATCCACATATCTTGAAACGTTCCTACATGGTCCCGGACTCGCTGCGAAGGCCAGTCACGTATGGCACCTTTATTGGTCCAGGAAAAAAAAAAGAAAAAAAAAGAAGGGTCGAGATGCTTTTTTTCTTCTCTTCCGTTCCTCCTTTTCCTTCCTAACCAGCACGGCGGCTTATTTTCCCCGAAGCTCTCGGAGTTACCTCTAATCGGCGTATTGCCTCGCTCCTCTTTCTTGAAGCTCGTTCCACGCCAAAGCACGAAATCAATCTAGAGAAAGCACATAGGTGCGCGATGCTCCTCGCTAAGCTGTCGCGCGGAGTAGCGAGATAAAAAGAAATGAGAGTAATCTCACAGGGAGGACCGGGGGTGTCCCGAAACAAAAAAAAAAAAGAATCTACCAAACACTGTATATCGGATGTGCACAAAGTGGCTGTTTCGGGCCGGTCTATTGAAATGGCCGGTTAAGCTTTCGACCCGGCAGGCCTAACTGCGCACTGAATGAGTAATTAATCTCTACTGATCCCTATATTTGCATGAGCCCGGCTTACCGACTGGCTGACGACCCAGACTCTGGCACAGCTTAGTCATGCTGAGCCGTTTGAACAAGAGTGCGTGGGTGGCATCCGTGCCCGCACCACGGCCCGTGTACGAGGGTTGCGCAACACCATCACTTACGTAGTCATCCCCTTAGCGAGAGTGGGAGCTTTCTTAAAAAAAAAAAAAAAAAAAAAAAAAAAAAAATCATACCATCCCCTTAAATATTTTTGACCCCTCGGCCACTTTGAGACTCGAGGGTTAAAGAAATCAAAATCCAACTTCGCATTGAAAGCTTTCCCTGAGCTTTTTTTTTTCAAAAAAGCACATACGCGGCCAAAGTTGGTCACGGCCATTTTTTTCAAATTTGCTCAACCCTCGCGACCCGTCAAGCTCAACCCAACGAAACGGGTCGCGTCACCAGGGCGATGTTTACGGGTTCTCATTGTTCGCGTCCATAAATGTCAGCGACGACACGCGTCCCGCCATTCCCGCGGATGACGGCCGCGCGAGCCTGGCCCGACCCAGGCCGTGCATTTCAAACTCTCATTTGTTTTTACGCAAAGCTAATGGGGTCGCCCCGGCAGGGCTCGACCCTATAAATTGGCGTGTACAGATCGCAAGCTATAAAGCTCCGGGTTCACGTGACGCGAAACGTGGCATGTCTCCCAGCAATGATTACGCAGGAAGCACAGCAGGCCGTGAGCTTTTAGAGAGTGGACAAGATTAATTTCCTAAAAGATCTCAGAACGTCGACTCTCCTTCTTTCCCGCCGACCCTCTCCTCCGTTCCCGCCCCTCTCTCTCTCTCTCACGCTCTTATCTAGTGCGAAACAATGCGATACCGCGATACCCGCTGCTATATCTGGCAACTATCTCCCACTGTTAATTCCCATCAACGCCACCCGATGGCGCGCGATCAGGGCGCCAATTTATTCAAATTTCACGGCGATATCTTCTAAGTAATCCCCTCGTTTCCTTCGCTCGCTACTCGCGGTCGAGAGTGAAGCCTTTCGAAGAAAAAGAAAAAAAAAAAGAAAACAAGGGGAAAATAAAACACGCGCCAAAGGTACTCTCAGATCGTTAAGACGAGCTTACGCAAAAATATCGGTATCCCGGAGCTTTTTTTCTTTCGCTCTTTTACGATCGGGAGTAAAGAGACAGCGAGGAACGACGTTTAATTCTCGCCTTGGGCATTTAAACGTAAAATTTCCGCAAGTGACTCAAGTACCGGGGGCACGAAGTGACGGTAAAAACCGGAAGTGGCCTGAAGCGACGCGAAATCATTTAAGCAGAAGGAGACTTACGAAACATCCAATCCAATTAACAGATAACATCACCTGGTCCATAATAAAAATTTTCAAGCGTAGGACGGATCTATATGAAATCCCGTTATCAAACTGTATCTCGTGTATTCGGGCTAATCTTAAACACGCAACAGGTAGACTGACTGATGTTTGCATTTATCAAACTATTTTTTTTTTCTCCTTACCTCTTCCTTTACCCAACGCAAGACGATGGACCAGTAAAAAATCGCGGACTTTGGTCCTGACTAGGATATTTCCATGCGTGCTCACGTAAAAACCATAAAGGAAAAAGTGGGATGGTAGTTAGCGCAACTACTTTTTTTTTTCACCCTGTACCTTTACGAGTCCCAGGATTTCGCGAGGGGAAACGATAATACTGCGAGGGTCGGTTAACACCTGTTCACGTTGAAAATCCCTGTATCCGATCATCCCTATCCCACAGTACATAGATTGGGAGCAGTCGGGATGCTGCGAGCCGCCCTGTACGGAAAGGGCCGCGTGTAAAAACGGTTCCCTGAATATTCAAGTGCGCGCGAATAAATCGAGCGTACTTTCTGCATATTCAGTCGAGCTTTAAAAAAGAAAAAAAAAAAATACCAAATCTTCCGAAAAATTCGCACGACGTCTCTTCGAGGTATTGATCAAACCCCTTTAAATCGTTTTTCCCATATAAATCAATACAAACGACTGAACCCATCACGTTGTCAAAGCCGGAGCTTTCGCTCGACGATCATAAATGAAAAGCACTGTAGCCAGAAAAATATACGGGTACCGCTTTAAAGATCCGCACGAAAGCTTTTGGAAACTCAAAGTGTCCGGACATGCGCAATCACCGGAAATAAACTTCCGCAACGAAACGTGATCGTTACCAGCAGAGATTATAAGAAAAGCTCTCCCTTCCCAGCAGACAGCCGCGCTCGGAGCTTTCACGAGCTTTTAGGATAGTTTTGTTTGCATTAGCTCTAATGCATCCGCCCGTATGATCGTTCATTCATATTTCCCGACACGACGTCGCGCGAGCTTTCGCGAAGCTCCTCGGCAAAGCTCGGAGACTCAAAAAAATATTTACGCGCACCGACCACGTCATTTCACGTGTCACGCACCGCCAAGCTGCTATTACGCGATAAAATTTATTATCAAAAAAAAAAAAAATTTCTCGCTATCTATACTCGAACTCAAAATTTTGAAATTCGCGCGGCGTCCCTGATCAGCGCGTATGTAATTGCACGACCACTGAAGGATCCATTCGACGATCGAGAAATACACAGGGTAATTACGCAAGGTATGATTTGTGCATCTGCTATCGAAGCTTCCAGCGGGATACCCCGATCCCGAACGACAGTAGTCCCAGTGTACACGTGGCCGTAATACGTCACGTATTCGAAACGCGCCTTTAAACCATTACGAGGATTAGGAATAATAGACGGTGGGACGGACGCTAATACGTCAAATGCATTTGTTCCGGCGGATGACAAATGGGCACCGTAGGTACCGGATGAACCAGCAGACGCCGCTCCTAGACCTGGATTGGTAAGGATGGTGCGACGTCCTTACAGGATCCAAGGGACTCCGGGAGTCCAAGGGAGTAGTGGGGGGACCAATTAAGAAAATGGGGATGAAAGGGACCGGAAGGAGGGAAGGGATCCAAGACGCGTAATTTGCATCGACAGATGATTTTTATTTCGTAGCCTTTAATAAAGCATCCCGTGGCGTATTTTGTACTCCGGAGCCGAGGACTGCGCTTGACCTGGGTCTAGCGAGGGGAGGACTGTCTGGCAGAGGGTGGAAAGTGTCAGCCCCCTCCGACGGGGGTAGCGCTGGATGAATCTCTTGAGACTAGACTCTATTCGCTCAGTGAACTAGCAATTACCTTCGTTATTGGCTCGAGTCACGGTAAAATCATTATTATTTCGCGAGTTCAAACGGTCTTGGCTGGGGGGTTCAAACTGAACAACCCTTAGTGAGTAATGCATAATTTTCCTTCTTGGGTAGGTAATGATAGAGTTTGTATAGAGTTAAAAAGTATATAGAGGCAGACATTAAAAAGCTATACTGACTGCAGTCAAGATTTAATGAAAATGATTTAGTGTGGGCGATAGTTGAAAATTGGCTGGGAGTCTTACTCTTTTATTTTCTTTGCACCCTGGATCCCTAGACTATTTGGGAGACCTTATAAAATGTTTGTCGCGAATAGATAAGAAGGAGAAAAGTCACTCACCACAGGATCTTTCTTCGTCTGGATTTCCTTGTGTAGCTGGCAGGTCCAGTCCGTTCTTTGAATTCTCAGGATCGGCTTTGGGGATGACTTGACGGTTTCTTCAGCACTTTGTGTAGTTTCGGATGAGGTTCCCTTTATTCACTTTTTACAATTTTTCCAGCACTTTGTATTGTTTCGGACGAGGATCATTTTATTCACTTTTCACAATTTGGTCAAAATACGAATTCTCTCGCGCGCGGTAGAGAAATACTGCGTCGCGAGGAAGGAAAGTGAAAGGAAGATGAAATGAATGAACTGAAGGCCCGAAGAGATTAAAAGAGATGATTTTGATGATATTGACAGGGAATGGTTGTTACAGACATGACACTTGACCGGGGACAAGCGCGATGGACCGGATTAAGCAGGCTAGGGTGCGAAATACACGCTATCGGGCCCAACCCCCACGGACAGCGGAGGCCCGGCTAACAGATACCGAAGTAACAGCGGACTGCTGTGACGCAAGAGCTTAAAGGGCCGCGAAGCGGCTTCCGACCTTCGACAGACTTTGGTCGCGGACACAAAGCATTGACAAACATGAGTACAAGACTTTGAACAACATGAGCATATGTGAATGGCCTGGACTAAGCAGTTGCTTGTGTCGCAGAACCAGAACACGGGAAAAGGAGCCAGGCTATGAAAATTCGCGATCACCCCTAGCCGAGTCGACCGCAACGAATCACTGGGCATCAGCACCGACCGAGGCCGGAAGTCCCCGAAGGGACTTGAATTTACGCTTCAACCTTCGTCACTGCCCGCCGCAAAGCCGAAGCTAGGGCAGGTTAGACGTAAGGAACCACGTTCGATCTCCGAAGACGAACCACGTTAACCCTAGATCAGCGCGCAAAGTGTTTCCTGCAGAGGGTGATTAGAAGTTACCGGGATTTGAGGTCCCATACGCCAAGTGGAGTAGCACAAGCGAACGCAGATTGACGTGACCGCTCCCCTAGAGAGCGCAGAAAGGGATGCCGACGCCAACCCATGACTCCCCACCGCTCAAACCGTCTTGGCATATTTGCTGCGGAGTTTACTGCGATACCAAAGTGATATCGCGAAGAAGGTATAGCCCAGCGGAAGAAAGTGGGAAAGTAGGGAACACAGAGAAAGAAAGAGAGAGAGAGAAGTACATGAGCAGTAAAGAATATACCTCAGACGAGAGATGAGAAGAAGATGAAGAAGCACCGAATGAGTCACAAGAGATACACGTAAGGAGAGGAGGAACAAAGAAAGAAAAGAACGCGAACTCGAAACTCGCGTTATCCCAGATCGGCCGTTCGAAGACTGAAGCACTAATCCAAATTTTCTTCCGCATACCAGTCAGTACCCCCTCCCAGTCGAGTACCGATCAACAAGCGCTGCCCTCCTGCGGTCAAGTTTTCAACAACAACCTGCACAGGAAGCCTCAACAGTGTCCCGAAGCGACGATACAGGGAGATCAGTCCTTGGCAATGGTCTTCACTCCAAATCATCCTTGATCCACCCTGTAACCAAAAACAATTTTTTACTCCACTGCCCTTTTGCACGTTCGTCCTCAACCGTATCCTTCGTGTATTCAGCAATACAAATAAATACCAATTTCCATCTTCACAACTTTCTCTACAATACACTGCAACAGTCAAATTAAAATGTCTCTTATAACGTGTGACGTAATTTTTCAAATCACAGTCAAAGGCTACTCCAACTACCGATTCGAATAACGTTATATTTATACAATTTATTAATCGGTGAAGGAATTTCGATCTTAAATCTCCAGCTCAGTCTATCGGCCGTGCATTTCCGTTTGCCTTCACTCCCGTCGGTGCATCCAGTTGCATTAGCTGATATAACGCGACCCTAATTCGCCAGCCACACTTTTTCCTGCCCTTCCGACATCACACAGCCAATAATTTTTAGCCGTCGCAGGCAAATTAATCGTCCCAATCATTTTGCAATTATCCTCCTCGCGCATTCGATGATAATTAGAAGCCACTGGGGCTCTCGATTAAGGTCGTTCGCTCGAGAGGATCAATAGTTTGGACTGTCGAATCAAACGAATTAATCTGGACGGGACCCGTGCGCTGTCATGTATTTATCTGTTCGCTCGCATCTCTTTGTCAGGCTAATTGGCAGAGTAATATTCTTAATTGTCTTCACCCGCGACCCTTGACCTCTCGAATCCTCTAATATTCTCATTACCTAATTGTCAATAAACACTTGTTGTCACTCTCAGTCGAATCACGTGACAATCGTAATTTTATACATAGATAAATAATTAAAATACCTCGATTGGAATATTTTAAAGAGAATCTACTTATCTAAATAGCGTTCAATGTGTTATCCTTTTTTTTTTGTTTTCCTAACCTAAAAGCCAAATGACTATTCAGCCTGCACGGAATTCTGTTTGTTCAAGAGTAGCCTTGGGCCTCGAGGAACAAGAAGGTCCGACTCGGATAAAAGCTAAAGATTCTCTTCCTCTCGATCTCTTACTCTGTCATCCCTTGAACCTGATCGGGATCAGGATACGGGATCTTGTTAACCGGACGCCTCAAGGGTGCATTGTTAGTAACGCTTAATAGTTTTCACCCTGGCAACTCCTCCTTTCCATCAACGACCGTAGCCGCCATTGTCGAACGACACTAAACTTCCGGAGGGATGATTACTCCAGATGATCGATCGATCCCAATAGAAACGACAATGCTCTTCAGGCAAAAATCAAGGAGAGTGACTGAGTATACATATGGTAGACCATTGGAAATGGGATACGAAAATTAAAAGTATATGTAATACAAGCCTAAGCGAGCAGTGCGCCATTAGGATTTTTTTAAATACAGTATTTCTGGTTAGGTGAAAAATTTTTTTTTCTCAAAATTTTCATTACCTCAATTTTCAAAATAATTGAAAATTCTGACATACGCTATATCCGTACATACGTTCCACGTGGTGGTTAGTTAAAGAAAATAAAAGGGGAAAATTTTATATTCAAAGCTTTTTTATGTACCTGGACTATCGTCAAGGACGAGCAACAAGAATAATCTATGTGAAAATAATCGTTAGCACGGGATACCCATGGTTAGAGCGAAAAGTGGCGGAGCTTAAAGAAGAAACAAAAAGAATCTGAAAAGAAAGCAAAGTAATGCTTACCAGGATAATGAAAATTAATTATCCTCCAGGTATTACCCTATTATACCGTGCATCCTCGTATATTCTAAAATGCAAAACTGCAAAGCGGCACGTCGACAACTTTCCATCTCGCGCTCATAACTCTTCGTCCCTGCAGCACGCGTTGGTGGAATGCAGGATTTTCAAGCAAGTCGAATAGAACCGAGAGACGCGTTAAAATCGAAGTGTCAATTCTTAAGATGTAAAATTTACGGTTAAAAATAATCGGCATGGATTATCGTCAGGAGTTCCCAATGGCTCGTGCGAAATGAATGCAACCGACGTCGGAACGTCGTGTTAAATGGGCCGTCGTATAATGGAGAGAAGCCAGTAAAGTGAGATAGAGGAAAAGAAAGAGATTCGGTTCCAAGAGAGACCAAGAAGACAACCAGTGGTTTAATCGTGAGAAGAATGAAGCCAGGGAGTCCGTGATAAAAAGTATTAATGAGAGGGACAGAAGAATCTAACGGTAGAAAGAGGAAGAAAGAGGCTATGAAAAAAAATAAAAAATAAAAATAAAATAACCAATCAGAACGTAGTACAAATCGATCCTGTCGGAGCCAATGAATACTTGAGACGTGTATGTAAATAAATAAACGGTTACTGGGTGATGTTTTCCGTGAAACTTTTCCACGAGGCATCCGTAGCTGATGAAACAACCGCAAACAGCCCCCGGGTGCCACGCCGTTAGTTAAGCCAGTATTAGGGGCTGCTGGCCCTTTGCAATGGGGAGCCCTACTTCTGCCCAATGTAATCAACTGAATGAGCAAGTGACTCTGGAGTCGGAGAACTACGCCATGCCGCTAGGTACGGTTTGACCCTCTTGAATGTGGTCATCTGAATAAACCATGAGTAGCACCTTAATGACGGAATCGAAGGTACCTAGGAGCCGCTGGTGGCGTGCTTCGGGCCCAGGAGCAAGCTCAGAAATAACCAGGAATATTTCGTCCCACGTTCCTCTCTGCTTATTTCTAACCATCTTTCTTCGAGAAACAACTGGAACCGTCAATGACCAGGAGCAATTCCATGTAGACCAAGGATCTTCTTCGTGTCCAGGATCACTTTGAACATTCATCCAAGTCCTTTTCCCTTATTCCAGTGTTTAGTACATAGTCCCGGTACTCTCTTCTCTAATCCGTGCTTGATTAACGTCGCCGACTTCGATCCTTCGGAGCGACCAGGACGAGGAGCTGTGCCTCCTGAGGTCCTTTGACTTCTGTGAAAAGCACAATCCAATAAAGTACCATAACATATTTTGAACATTCTGCAAAGGGATGCTCGGTATAGTAGCTACGTACGTACGCGATAGAAGGAGCCCAAACATAATATCCTGAAAAGCACTCGCAACTCAATTTCCCATGTAGTACCTACCAGGACCAGAGCTATGCATAATCCCGTTTGACAGGTGTTTAATATTTCTCGAAAGTTTCCACTCCGGCTGGCAATACCAACGGCGAATACTCATTGCATCCCAGTGAGTTGCGCCTCCATGTGCCAGTTCGCCTCGACAGAAGTTCATTCGAAACTGAAAAGTATCCACAACCAAATGGTTAGTAGGTAGTAACAGTGGCTCGCGCCGTGGTTAGCGAAAACCAATATTGGCCAGGTCGATGCGAGTGGCCAGAATGTTTGCCCCGGTACCATCCTACCGTTTCATTGGGTCCCGGCCACTTTTTTTTTCCTTCCCCCTTTCGCTCCTCTCCCTCCTTCGCAGCCTGGGCTCTCGCCGCGTTCCGCGCATCGCACAAAGTTAAAACCCGCGAATGGATTTTCACTGGGGGCGAAATTCTTTTTTATTTACTCCACAGTGAGATAGCATAAAAACTCAGTCTCAAACGAAACTGATCGGTTAATGGCAATCCAGTACTCATTTTCGGATGATCCAGACGAACTTGAACTCTTTTTTTAATATCACCCGGTTAACTCATCTTGCCCAGGTATAGTACCCAAAGAGGGCAACTGATAAAAATAGGCATCGACCGGAAGTACCTGAAAGGGTCCTTCAAATAGAAGACCCGTGGCTTTGTCGACAGCGCCAAGCAGGAAACTTACAAATCCTAATTACCGAACTCGCCCGATCCGCGTTAGATTAGGAAAGTTTTCGGAAGGGTTTCCCTATCTGCCCCCTTACCTCGGCCCTGCCCCCGCGCAGCTCCTGCCCGCGCATCAGGCCCTACCCGGCCTACTGGCACAGGACTCGCAACCTATACTCATAAATAATACAGAGCATAGAACTTTTCAAATTATGACGTCGTACCCGGGAAAAACTAATGCGCAATTTATGAAGACGCACCAGCGCTGCTCCTGATACGTAAATAAAAGCCAAGGAAGGCAGCAGCAACCCCGCTGAAAAGTTACCCGTCGGCGCGCTACTGCCGGGGGCCTTTTAAGAATGTCTCGCCGCGCGATTTATAACCTCCCAGTGAATTTACGACGAGCGACATGTCCGCGCTAACGATCTTAGCTTACCCTTAAATAACGTCCCACCAGTCTGGCTTGACGTGTACCAATACGTGAGCGATGCTGCGAGCCCCTTTTCAAATTAGCACAAAAAGGAGGTATCCCCTTGAAAATCATATACTCAGCCGCGATACAATGTACTTCTATGCAAAAAAAAAAAAGTTACCCGTTTAAAAAAAAAAAAACTGAATATCCTCGCCATTAATAATTTACAAATCGAGACGGACCATCCACCCCCCGCAGAGGGTGCAGTACTGTACTTAAAGCGACGCAGCTTCCGGTGCATCCCGTATACAAATTTCCGTCCTCCCAGTCCCCAAGCCCCGGTTACCTTAATGCACGTCTACTTATGCATAACGGAAGCGGAAGCTGACCGTGCCCAACCCATGAATATCCAACCCTAATTGGCTTGCATTAACGATGGTTGAATTATAAAATTCTCGCCCCAGGCAATCAGGGTGGCTGACCTGGCGCCAATTTAAAAAAAAAAAGCCATTAGCTTCTTCTCCGCCGTACGAAGGTCGTGGGCGGAAGTGACGTCAGGCTAAAAAAAAATATTTTAACGTTCAATCCATTCAAATCATTGTCAACGTCCTGTGAGAAGATCTTACGTCACAACCCGGATCTGCTATCCTCGTGGTACAACCTCAGGGAAACTTGCCCGTGGACAAGCGTCGACGCGGGCGTCGGCGTCGGTCTGAACTTCCGTCTCGCGTATCTCAGTATCGAAGTTGGCGTATCGAAATACGGTGTCTGAGGGAGAAACAGAGACGTGAGAAAGAAACTGGCCTGGGACGTGGAAGTTGCATATACAAGCTCCCTGTATGTACTGGGTAGAGGGAGACAGATGGTACATACCCTCATATGTAGATACATACGCTCTTGCCAGGTAGAGCTACCGGGAACGTTGCTGCCATGTTGTTCCAAGTTTCCTGAGCTATATGCATGCATGAGATAGGCGGCCTCCGATGCTGTCTGTCTGTCTGTCCCATAACTACATATATCAACTCCTAATCAACTTAGAGAATCGTACGGGCGAGATAATGCTATAGCAAGGGATAGAATGTATAATAAGAATAATGAAGTATCATAATATAATTTTGTTGATATAATAAAATCAGCCGTATATCGTCATGGGTGAAATTAGAGGCGTGAGATCAGTAAAATGTAGAATGTTTTTAATTAACATTTTCAACGAGTCCCACGTAAAATCTCGTCGATTACCTATTCTTAGGGTAATAAAGGTTGAACCGAAAGTTAACGGCATTAAGTGGGACGTGAATTAAGTTGAAATTGTATTCGCGAGCCAAGTGCCGGATTAACGTTTCACA